TAAATCAAAATCTTTCAACGTTGGCACTAACCTCTGCGTAGAGTACGCTCTGTCCCCTCTCTTGTTTGTGTTGTACATGGATAGAATATTCAGTCGCAGCCAGGGCGATGAGAATATCAGCATAAAAGATTTCGAGATGAGAAGGTTGCTGTTTGTTTAATTGGCATCTTCCGAAAATGATCTCCAGGTCTCTCTGGAAATGGTCACAGCCCAGTGCAACTTTCCCAGCATGCGTGTGAAGGCATTTAAAGCGAATAGCCTAGTGATATCTCGTTCTTCTGCGCGCTGCTGTCTTCAGGAAACGGAGGGACAGTGGAGCAGGGGAAGAAGTTCAAGTAGCTCGATGTCGTGTTTACTGGTGATATAAAATGGGAGCAGATCGACTGGGGAAGTGGAACAGCCAGTGGTGTTCTGCGTGAACTAGCCTGAACCATAGTGAGTAAAGCAGAGATTAGCTGCAGATAATGTTCTCCATGTTTAAGTAGATCTTCATCCCCATTCTTACCTACGGTCGCGAGTCGTGGTGCATGATTGACAAACTTCGATGCCGGGTCCAAGCGGATGAAATGGGTGTTCTGAGACGAACCGCTGGCTTTACGCGTCTGGACATGATCCGGAGTACAGAAATCTGTGAGAATCTTGATGTGCATCCGCTGATATTTCAGATCGAGAAATCACAACAGCGACGATTTGGGCATGTGTTGCGAATGCCTCCGGAAAGGAACGCGAAGCAACTACCACTTGCCCAACCGACTGGTCTAAGATCACGACGACGGCCAAGATTAACGTAGTTCAAGTGAACTGAAGGAGTCTGCTCCAGACTCCAGTTGTGTTCTGCTGAAGCTCAGATACTGGCAGTGAATCAGTAAAGTTGATAGCAGTGGCTGACGCGTCTGCCCCCGCGACCAGAAAGAAGTGGTCATGAAAAATGAAGTGAATAAATTACGATAATATCGGGTGTGTTTAACGCCTCTACGATCGACGTTGCGGGCGAAAGCCTCTACATGAAAAGCTTTGTTGTCGACAAGAGGCGAATTTTATTACTGTATCATTCTATTATTATTACTACTCTATTACTCTGTTATTATTTTCGAACTCAATGTTCAGTAAAACGATAGACACCTAATACTAAAATGCAGATATCGCGAACAATTGTGATGGGTAAACATAAGAAATAACGCAATAATAAAGAAGAAAATAGCACCTGATTTCCGTTTGCGAAGTGCGTTAAGCAGCCAATGTAACAGTAGAGCGCGATAGTTGAACTTCAATGCGATTGAAATGCTCTGACGGCAGCCGACCGATGGCAGAAAGACAATCCTGACGGCTTTCAGCTCGTTCATAAGTTTATAGCCGTACAGGCTGTCAACCAGCAGACAAATGCGTCGTTTCTGACGCACCATCACGTCATCCAGGTTTGACAGCCATTTGGAAAATATTTGCCCCGTAACGTTGGCGTTAGGACTGGTAAAATACGACAACGGCAAGCGGGCGCCGATGCGGCGATGAATCTGCCGCCATCTGCCGACAACCACTGGGTCCAGCTTCTTCGTTCCTAAAAATAAAACTGTTAAGTGCTGGAAACCTACATTTAAAGCCAACAGAATGTTTTCCAAAATAGGGAGCAAAATTTCAAGGAAGCGATGAAATCTGCGAGATTTCATTCTTCCGGCACAGCACGTGCCCAATAAAAAAGTCTCTCCATGTGAGGACCCTCACATCAATGTCATGAGCGAAAGAAAAAGACGGGTAGACCGCAGGAAGAACTTTCACGAGCGGCCATTTCTAATGTCCATCTCTTAATAAATTTAAGAGTGGGGAGTTGATCTGCATTCACATGCCATCAGAGGGGAGTGTCTTATTTTAAAGGCATAATTGACAGGAGCAATGCAGCAAGCATATTCCGTAGTTTCCTGTTTCGTCCCACATCACTATGTTTCTTCATTAAGGTCGGAAGGAAGGCGAGTACCCAACCGAAGTTGTAGCTCCGGAATTCTCGGTTAACTTTGACGCTCTAAAGAGTAAGCAACCCCGAGTAATGAGACGAAGTCAGCAGTGGCGCAGAAGAAAGCCGATCGGCTTGACATTTTAGAGGTGAGGATTCAAATGTAATGTTCTAATTAACCGATACTTACTCTGAACAAGGAAGTCACGCCGCCGTAACTCTCTACAACCATTCGAGAAACGGGTATCGAGTTGATGGTCTGCAAACAATGTAGACAGAACGGCCTTCTAATTTAATCGTGTCAGATTCCAAAACATATTGCCAGGGTGCCTGATTATACGCCTTACCGTTGTAATGTGATCTGATCCGTTCGACGGCAGACTTAACAGGGGAGAGGTGTAACAAGCAAGATAACGGGGAATGAAGGGGCAGTGGTGAACAGAGAAGTTGCTCAGCATCGTTGCGGAGCTCTTGACGTACAAGACGAGATGGAAGGGCAAATGGAGATGGAACATGGAGCAGTGTCTATCAAGTACTTGCATATGCATAACAGCGATCGCTTCATGGACGTTCTCAGATTTCCGAAACTGTTAAGAAGCTTCGAGTACATTACAGCTGTTATTGCAATATTATTCTTAAATACTGCTTCTAACGGTCATACGTAAATCGCTGCTACTTTGCTGTTCAATTTCCATTCGCTTTAGGTGACGATGACACAAAATAACAATATGTATTTACATCATGTAACGCAATGCCACAAACCACAGATAGTTTCTTTTACACAGATTTTGATTTAACCAAAAACTTTAAATTAGGACTTAGTTTAGTTTTAGATATTAGTCACATGGTAAACTGAAATGTCTTGAGAAAGCGGACCGTCGTACTATGTGACAGAAGCGCTGTGGCGATCGCTTGAAGAATACCCTGCCATGTTGGCAAAGTGTATGTGCAAGAACGCGGGTGAGGGGGGG